GGCTACAAGTTAAAGGTTTAACTTGTAACCAGGGCAGAAAATAATAAGAAAAAAGCTTCCCACTGGCCGCTGTGCAGGGGGGAAGCCGCCCGTACGGGCTGGGGAACATCCAAACCACAAGGCAGGTAACGTGCAGATGCCACACGGAGCACTGTCCGTTTCCTTCATGGCCAGAACACCCGGCGTGACTGCGGGCCCTGCCCGTCCCGGCCCCGCTCAGGGCTCCCCGCTCTCCCGGCCCGGCGCACTCGCCTGTCCATGCGGCACTCCAGGTAGGCCATGGCGCTCTGCCGGCAGGCCGCGCTCTCGTAGCCGCTGTGCCGGAGACACTCCATGAAGCGCTCCTTGAAGGCGCTGCACTCCCCTGCAACACAGAGCGAGCCCCGCGCTAGCGCCGCGCCCCGGCCCGGGGGAACAGACCCGGGGGAACAGGCCCGGGGGAACAGGCCCGGGGGGCAGGCCCGGGGGGCAGGCCCGGGGGGACAGGCCCGGCGCTAGGCCCCGCTACCGCACCGAAGTGATCCAGCGGGAACGCGCCCTTGTCCGGCGGCCGCGCCGTGAAGCTCTTGCTGCTGAAGTTCATGGCGGTGGACATGTCGCTGCCGGGGGTGGGGACACGGACGGCCCGGTCCCTGCGGCCACTTTCCTGTCCCTACGGTCACTCCCGTCCCCACGGTCACTCTCCCGGTCCCCACGGTCACTCCCGCTCCCCACGGTCACTCTCCCGGTCCCCACGGTCTCTCCCGGTCCCCACGGTCACTCTCCCGGTCCCCACGGTCACTCCCGGTCCCCACGGTCACTCTCCCGCTCCCTCTCCCGCCGCCGGGGGGAGCCGCGCGCCGAGCGCATCGAGCGAGTCACGTGCTCGGAGTCGCGCGGAGCGGGCGGGGCCGCGCCGCCACGGAAACGGCGTGGGTGTTGCTACGGCAACCGGAGCGATTCCCGTCGCCATGGTGACGGCGCCGCCCGCCATGTTGGGCCGGGCCCGGAGCGGGAGCGTCGCTCCCGTGCCCGCATCCAGGGCTCCGACAGCCTCTGCGAAATAAACCGATTCCTCCTCACGAAACCCGTGTCGTTGTCCTCATTCCCCCCTGAGTGGTCCGAGTGTTTTCTGGGTTGTCCTGCGCAGGACTTTGATGATCCTTGTGGGTCTTTTCCAACTCGGGATATTCTGGGGTTCCGTGAGTCCGTGATTCGTTCCTGTGCATGGGTGGCTGTGATGGTCTGGATGGGCCCGGAAAAACGGCCTGTCCTTGGCACTTGTGCGTTGGGAGATGGAGGAGGAAAGAGCCAAACTTGGAGCCTGGTGTCCGCAAATCCCTTCATACAGGATCCAGCCTTGATCAACCTTTCCCTTTTCTATGCAGGGCTGAGGCCAGGCTCCTCCTTCCCTTCTGCCCAGAGAATACATTCCTCACCTGTCACTGCTGAGCGCTGGGTCCTGACTTAAAAGCCCATTTGTGGACCCAGCTGTGGCTGGAGTGTGATCCCAGAACCCTGGGGATGGCACCAACAGGATCAACTTCCTTAGAAAGCCAGCAGGGTTTTGGATGGGCTGTCCCCATTCCTCTCAACCACCAGGCACCCATGGTGGCCACGATGTGGTTCCTCATCTCTCATTAATCCTCATGGTTTAAACTGCACACAAACCCTACAGACAGTGCTGTTATTTTGTACCTCCTACAAGCATTGGGAGTGCATGTGGATTCCCATCATGTGGCAAAAACACTGGTGACTCCAGCAACACCAAGGGGGTGTTGGCAGAAGCTTGGGAAATGGTGAACTTCCAGATCCTCAAGCTGTACAACCAAGAAAAACACCCCTTCTGCCTGCAGGTTTACAGCACAAACTCTGCAGATTCACAGTCTTCTGAAAGGAGGATGAGAAATAGCTTTAATTTAACTCACCAAGTGTTAACCATGGATTATGCTGGTATTTTTTCTTCTTTGCCCATAGCTGCAATTGGTTTAAGACAGTATTTTATCTTTTTTAAGTTGATTTTCTTTTAATTAAATGACTGAGCTAAGCAGAAAGAATTCAAGGCTGGAGGAAAAAAAAGAAATGAAATAGCTTCAATTTTTAAGGACAACCATTATGGAAATATTAACTGCAGCTCCGTTTAAAGTGTCTTTTGTTTATGCTTTGATTGCTTTCTTATTACAGTATTGAAATTGTAAATGGAAAATTACACCATGTTCTATTACATAAGCAACTGGTTTGCACAGCTTGAAATATAAGGTTTTATTATTAGGTTTTCAGGGCTATGAACAATAGATGGGTTTTATTATACAGTAAATAGCACTTTTCCACTTGACTTCGTTATAACACTTAATGGTAAAAGGGAGATATTCCTCTTTCATAAATACATGCAGCAAACTGTCTCCCAGATTTCAGACGACCGAGCAGCAGGGAGGTAACTTTGGTTTATCTAGACAAGTTTAACTGACGTGTCAAGGCACTTGATTTTAGCAAACTTCCCAAATTACATTCCTTACTTTCTGTCACAGTGGACGACTTGCTGATTTCCCATGTGATGAAGGAAGAAGCCAAAGGAAAAAGATGTGCAGAGATCTCACAGCAGAATTATTCCCAGGCAGAGAGCACCAACCCTTTCCAGTTCTGTTTAACATCTTTACCAACAATTTGAGTGATGGGATCGGGTGCACCCTCAGTAAGGTTGTAGATGACACCCAACTGGGTATGAGTGTGGATATTAGGAAATTCACTTCCCCAAGCATTGCCACAGGCTGCCCAGAGCAGTGGTGGAGCCCCCACCCCTGGAGGTATTTAAAAGCCATGTAGATGTGGCACTTGGGGACGTGATTTTGGTGGTGGCCTTGGCAGCACTAGGGAAACAATTGGGCTCAATTATCTTAAAGGTCTTTTCCAACCTAAATCATTCTATGATTCTCTGCAAAGGCTACATCAACTTGCTAGATTTAATTATACCCATTTTATTTAACCTATTCATTAACTCAGCATCTGTCTTAAATGTTGTAGTTACTCAAAATGAGGTCAGGTATAGTAGCAGGTGTTTGGTTATGATTACTTAATGCTTTTATTGCAAATGCCAGTTGTATCTTCTAGAATTTCCTTTAAAGGTTGTTGTACAATCTAATACACGTGCTTTAGCAGTTTAGGATATATTTTTCCCAAGGAGATCAAATGAAATCCCCATTAGATAATCACTGTGAAGGAAAAAACCTCATTTGCAGATTAAACCAACCAGTTCCAAAAGAACTCAACAAAAACAGAGACACAAAGAGCAGTGCCACAAACAGAGAACTAAATGCTTTTCACATAATATCTTTCAAAGGAGTGAGAGACTTTGACTGCATCAGGGAAATCTGAAATAGCTGCTTCAGCAAAAGGGTGCCCATTGTACAAGAGAGTTCAGATTATTCATAGTGTTTCACAGAATCTCTAGTCTGAAGTCCTGAGCCCCTGCCAAAAATTAGAATGCTCAAATTAGAAGACTTCCCAAACTAGGGAAAATTTTGGATCTTCCCCTTTCAAGTTACACAGCTCAACAGACTAAAAGAGAAATAAAAATCCTTTTCTTGAATCAGAGCTCGTCATCATTAATTATGGACTGAAGCAACATTAAAAACTGTTCTTTTCCAATGCTGTCAGATACTGCTGAAAACTTATTCCACTGCTGGTGTTTATCCACCAGCTGGACAAACATCTCCTCAGAAGGAGTTATTACACACTCACCATTACTCTTTGGAAGCACCAAATTGAATAATACTTCAGAGAAGAACCTTTATTATTTTTTACGGGCAGGGAAACGTCCCTGACTTCCACTATTTTCTCTCTCTCACCACATTGCCTCTTTTAAGAGCCTGCAGACTCAAATTATCAGGTAGTTAATTGGAAAATAATTTATTGACAAGCCATGAAAGGCTCAGAATAAAGCACTAGGGGATTTTGTAGCTTGACTTGGGATAGCTGTAGGAAATTAATGAGTTGAACAAGACCAAGCACATTCAGATGCTGGAATTTGTGCCCTTGAGACTGCTGTTCCCAGCCCAGGCACAGAACACACCTCAGAGAAACATCCTTCCAGGATCACTCATTCCTACGCCTCACCTTCGTCAGGCGAGCACGCCGCCAGCTCTTACATAAGGCCTCTTGCTCCATCACTGCCACAGGCTGTACTAAGCCATTTTTCTCCCTTTTAATTCAGGTTCCTAGACAAGCAAAAATGCAGAATATTGCCAGAATAGTCTGGGGAATGGGGATTTCTGTTGTGGATGATTAATGAAATATTATTGTTTTGCACTTACAGGGAAATTGTAGTTTCATGCCAATAAGGTCAGGGCCTTGAAATGTTATGTGCTCTATAAAGATGTGCAGTGATATCTCATTTTCAGTTATTACTGAGCCAAAGCCTCTTCAGTTTAGAGAGAAACGTTGTAGAAATACCAACGCTGCACAGAGAGGCAAAATTAACCTTCATCTTAAACTGCTCTTTGCAATTCTGGTACATCTAAATCCACTTCTCTCCACCTGCATCAAGGCAAGGGCCCAAAAGCAAGATGCTGGGACCCTGCTTCTGTAGATACCAACTAACCACCCTTCATGGTATGCCTCAGATTTCTCTTGGATTAATACAATTTCTGCAATATGTTGTTGAGAGAGACAGAAGCCAGAGGCCCAGAACAAATAAATCCTTGGAGCTGTGTTGAGGCATTTGATTTATCAGCCTTTCTTTTTATAAAAGCTGTATTTAGATTTATCAGCCTTTCATTTTATAGAAGTTGTATTTTGAAAATCTTCTTTTCATAACACAGCCTACTCAATACTCACCTCCCAGGTCAGGCTGCCTTGACTTGTTGGTGTAAATGTAGACCTGGAAGATCATGGTTCTAGCTGCAGTTGTGAGGGATTTTACTGCAAATATTTTTGTAGCTATGCATATTAAAAGGTACATTACCAGCACCAAAGCCAAGGATCTTCTCCCATGTGTTTTCTCACTGAGTGAGACTCATGAAGGAATGGCATCCATTCAGTCCAAGAAGGAGGCTTTTAAAAGCAAAAAAGTTCCCAAGAATGGTAAACGCTTAACACAAGTGGGAAATTAGGCTCTGCCAGGGACCATGCACTACTCTCATGCACAGACATTTCTGTTTTCTTCTCCCAGTGACCAGACTCATCACATACAATCTTTAAAGTCAGAATATGGGAAGAAAAACCAACCCAGGAATTTATTAAAAAAAAAAAATGCCATAAAATAAAGATTTTAAAAAATATTTTTCAGGAGTCTTTCTTCCCAAAGTAGGTTTGCAACCCACACTGATTTGACAGATGAATGAAAAAAAATTAAAGAGTCTTTTGTACAAAAACGAGCAAAGTGAACACTTGGGATACTGATCACTACCCTGTAGTAATCCTGTAGAAATACAGATTTGCAAGGTGGGAAGAAGTGGGTTTAAACCAGTAAAACAATGCAATAATGATGAAAAATTGAAAGGGGTCAGAGTCGGAAAGCTTTTGATTTCTTTTTGCTCTGCCATTTGTCAAGGCAAGCAAAACAGAGTTTTAACACATCTGGGTCTTTAAAAACGTTAATGTTTAATAGGGTGTGCTCAGGCTTTCTCTGTCCCTGATAACAATGCACAGGCTGATAGGCATCTCTGGCAGCTGTAAAGCAGTGGCAGAGCCTTGCAAGGCTCACAAGCATTGGTGTTCACTCTCATGGTTTATGATGTTATCAGCAGTCATTGACTGAATTATGGCTTTATCACAACCCTTCCCCTGCACTGTCCTGCAGTGAGGTTACACTGTTAACCTGTGGCCCATTAGAAGGTGATGTGACCTTCTCCAGACGAGCACACAGGAGTTACTGTGGTGTTTAAGCACAGGCTCATTTTCCAGGAGGAACTGAGGAGTCCCCAGAGCTGTGCCCACAGTCTGCTCACCTGAAGGTGGTTCTGCCTTGGGTGGGTACAAGGACAAAGATATCAGCTGGGAGCAATGTTTTCCCCCAGTCCTGTGTGGGATCCAAGCCTGTGGCTGCAGGTGTTCAGGATTCCAGCACACTGGAAGCTGAGGGATGTGAGGAAGAAATGGGGGTGAGGGCACCACATTGGCTGTATTATAAAACTGTAAATTCCCTCCCTCTGCAGAGCTCATCCATCAATTCTCACAGGGCATCAGTCCAGCAAGCTGCTACTCCATGGGCTCACTACTGGAGAAAGGGTCTCACCCTATATTGTCACCACAGATTGAAGTCCTAGGGAAGGTGCTTTTGCTCACTCTGGCAGCAGCCAACTCTACTCCAACAGAGCTCTGTGTAAACAGCAACAGATTTCCTCCTTTTGTACCCAACTGGCCCCATGCAGGGATTTTTTCCCTCCCTCTTACTGCATGTTATAAAGTCCCAGGAGTCCCAGTAGTCACACCATTCGCTCAGAGAATCTGGCAGAACAGGGTATTATTGGAAATGTCTGGGAGAGGAGGGTGCAGGCCAAGACCTCATAGCTCTGCAGCAAATCTTGAGAGGGATGTGACCATGCGTTGCCCTCCTTTCTTTGCTCACCCTGCCTGGTCCTCTTCTGCACAGTGAAGTTCCTCCATGTGAAAAACTCCAGTCCTTGATAACAAGCCTTGGAGAGCAGGCAGATGTGCAGACACCTTCTTCATGTCAATCTAGTTAGAGTTTATTGATTCCCCTTGCCTTTGGCTAATGTACTTTTATAATTATTAATAAATAATCGTCATTTTTCCATCAGTGTAGCCTGCATTTGGGAACCTTGGAGAATTCTAGCAAAAGAATTATTAAACTAAAGATTTCTAAGGGGTTGAACAGCAGCACAGCCCAGTAATCTGCCAGAATCTGCAACTGGGGAGCAAAATATCCCCACAGGAGAATATGGGATAGAGCATCAAATCAGCTCCTTCCCCCAGAGCCACCATTTCTACAACTAGCTTCTTGTTCTTGGTCACTTCTGCATTGTTGTCATCTCCCAGGGATGCAGAGGGTGGGGGTGGCTCCTGGAGCTGTCACCTGGGCACGTGGGCTCTTGCAGGACCCTGCCCTGGCTTGCGACATGACTCAGTACCTGCAGGGCCAGAACTGCTGCCATGTGCTCCTCCTGGCAGCCTCCCTCCTCCATCCTCTGCCTGGCCAGCTGCAGAGGCTGATCCTGACTCCTCCCAGGTTACAAGGATTCAGGATCTCTTTCTCAATCAGGATTGCCTGCAGGGGACGGTTTCTCCTAGAGGATTGCATGCAGCTGTTCATAAACAGACAGAGTCATCACCAAATACTGAGCCAGGCATGGCCATCCAGGCACCCAGCTCCCTGGGCACTAACTGCCAAACAGTGACTGAAGTAGTTTCAGGGACATTTTGGGATTGCTGGTAGGGGATTTTTGGGACAAAGACAGTAACAGTGCTAGCAATAAAAACACTGTTCAAGGAGGTAATCTCACTGGGGTGGCAGGAAAGCAAAAACAATCATAGCTGTCACCTGTAAATAGATCTGCTCCTGTCAACAATCCTAAATTAGCACATGTTCATGCAACCAGCACTCCAGCTTCTCTGTGGTCAGTGTTGTCCTCCCCAAGGGCTTGCTTGCCAGCTGCACCTGGGCCATGCATTATTGTGGGCTCTCCCTCCTGTGTCCTCCTTCCTCCACTGCATCACCAGTGGTCCAGCTGAGTCCTGTGACCTGGCACAGTGACAGCTGTCCAGCATGGGTCTTGTCCTTGAGTTCTGACCCTGAAATCACGTAGAGAACAACATGCCCATAACACAGATCTTCACTGGAAAACAAACACCCCGTCCCAGTGTTGTAGATGAAACAAGAACTCCAGATTATGATAATCCATGGTTCAGAATGAAAGAGGTGTTTTATTTGGCAGGACAATGGAATACATCTGGTCTAAGTGGATGTAAACAAGTCTGCAGATCCTTTTTCCTTGTGTAAAACCACTTCCCCAGAAGGTGTGTTCCATAACAGAAGGGCTATAAAGGGACCCCAAGATGCTCATACCCTCACCTGATCTGGACATGGCTGTGCAGATTTTCCTGCAGTACGTGGGCTCCAGCTCGCTGCTCTGCTTGGCAGCAGGGCTGTTTGCTCTCCTTTACTTTCTCTCCAGCTCCAAGAAGTCGATTTGCAATTTGCCCCCTGGGCCAAGACCTCTTCCTCTGCTCGGGAACCTGAACGTGGTGGACCTGAGAAAGCCATTCCAGTCGCTGACAGAGGTAGGGGCTGAGCGAGCAGGCAGGGGGCAAATGTGCAGTTCCTGAAATGAGAAATGCAGCTGGGGAAATACAAACGTGGTTGTGTTTGCTTTGTGTAGAGGGCAGCAATGAGATATGTGGCACACAGGCAGGCTGGCAGAACGACTTTACCTTCAGAGGTGCACACATGCACACTTGTATTTGTTATGTGAATATAATACACACACTCCTTTCTTCATGCACACTCAAGTGTAGACCACACACCCCTTGCAATCTACTCCAAATTGTTGGTGTTTTGAACCTTTCAGAGGCTGCAGGTAAAAGACTTGAGCTGGGCCAGGCTGCTGCCATCACGAGATGTCTCACTGCCACCAGACCTCTAAGAAGGATGGGTGGATGGAAGGGATGCAGCAAGAAAAGGTACTATCCCCACAGCAGAGAGAAAGGGGATGTGCATAGTGTCCTGTGCACACTTTTTTCCAAAACTAATTACATCTCTGCAATGCAAAGAAAAACACAACTCTGCTTCCCCAGGCCTCCCCCTGCACACACTGCCCAAGGTGGCTGAGGACTTGATGCGTGGATTTTATATGTCTATCAAAACAAACTGCTTTTGCTTACACAGCTCCATGGATACTTATATTTCTAAAAGAGAGGACAAAAAAAACCAACAAAAAAACTTAAATATTAAAAAGCCTGGGGCAATGTTTGTTTCAGAAAGTATCTGCTGTGTTTCCATAGGGACCTGGGGACAATTCAGTGGGAATTCAGATTTGATCTGGTTGCTGTAGAGACAATTGAGGGACCTGTCACATGCCCTGTGTGTCTGCTGCTCACTGGACACTATGGTGGGGGAAAGCTGGTCCCCAGAGAGCTCCTTCAGCCTCAGAACATTTGTAGTGAGAGGGCAGTGCAGACACAGCAATCCTCCAGTTAGCTTTAGAAGAAAGGGCATCCTGTGTTGCCAAAGTACAGAATTCCTACAGCAGACACACAGTGCTCATCTGCCTTGATTTATGGGGCAGAGAATTGTGTAGTGACTAGTTCTGATGGGCTTCTGGTCCTGAGCTTCCATCTGATCCTGGGTATGTTTGGGGATGTTGGTATGAAACTATTTATGAACTATTTTTGGCAGTACTGGGGGATTTTATGGTGCAAAAGTCATGTGACAACACCAGACTGATTTCCTATAATCTACCAAGAAGCTTTATTTGGGTTTTCAGGCCTGCCACATTGTGCTGCTGAGTAAAACCAGAGCGGATGCCAGGAAGCACTAATGCAAGGAGATGGCCAAAGGAAGGCTCGGAGGCAGCTGTGATTCCCTGCCCCTGGGTCTGCCACACACTCTGTGAGCTGCCAGGGATGAAAGAACCAGTGCTAATGTTATCTCCCAAGCCGTCAAACCACTGTTTGATGAAAACAAATTCAATTTGTCTGGCGTAATAACAGGAGCTGCTTCTAATCTGAAATTCAATTTGTGGAATCTATCTAATGCATAGAAAATGGTAACCCAGGCACATCAGAAACAAGAAGATATTTGGAGTGGATGGCTTGCAGTGTGTTTAAACGAAGCCTAAAATACCAAGTGAATGATTAGCTTGTCAAAGCCACCTTTCAGGGTAACAGATGATTCATTTTTAATTTGCTATAAAAGCCTAATGCTCCTGTGACATTATCTACCAGAATATGCTTCCTAGTTGGATTCAGTTTCTGGTGGCCAGCAAATAATTCTGTGATGACTGCAACACTACCCACCTTGCCATAATTAGAGACAAGTGCTGTCCTGAAAGAAAGAGTTATTGTCTGGCTTTGTTTTTGCAGTGTTTGTGGCTTCAGCCTCAAAGGTGTGTGCACGCCTGCTTGCCTCAGGTCACCAGCACTACAATAACCAAGTCTGCCTGCTACAGCATTGTCTAACCAGCCTCCCAAGGTTGTATTGCTGGCCTGTTACTGCAGAACACCACAGGAATGCAATGGCACTCTACTGACTCCCCTGATAGGAGCAGTGATAGCAGACACCTTGTTGTGCAAACAGGGTGCAAGCAGAGATGCTGGCAATCGATAGCTGCTGCTCACTACTTGAATTACAGCAGCACCTGGAGACATCAGGCAGGGATGGGAGGCTCCTTTTGGTCTAGAAACCTCCTAGAGTGGCCAGTACTAGTGTTTTGAGTCCAGATCTGGCTTTGAATGAACATATTTATTCACCTTGACAGCTCTCCAAGATATATGGCAACGTCTTCACAGTGCATTTTGGACCCAGGAAGGTCGTGGTACTGGCTGGATATGAAACCATCAAGGACGCCCTTTTAAATCATGCTGAAGAGTTTGGAGAAAGGGCAGAAATACCCATATTTAGGAAAATGACACAAGGAAATGGTAACTGACCTTTTGCTTGCATAAGTTTTGTCTCTGTTCATTATATTCTCACAGCAGAGAGTACTGTCCTCTTACAGATCACTTTTTGTGATCTTGGGAGGTACCGGTGTGTACGAACATTTATGAACCACAGGTGCCATAAGGATGTTACACCTTGTTTTAGGCATAGCATTCAGCCATGGAGAGCTATGGAAAACCATGAGAAGATTTACCTTGTCCACACTGCGAGATTTCGGAATGGGAAAGAGAACCCTGGAGGTCCAAATCCTGGAGGAAGTAAATTCCCTGATCAAATATTTTGAGTCCTATCATGGTGAGTTTCAAGTCTTTCATCCAGAGACAGAGAACAGGTCTAGCAGAACAATAAAGATTAATGAAAGTTTAACTTTGAGTAAATGGTATCTTGTGGTTAAAGTTCAGCATAGGGTGCAATTGAACCAAGGCCTTAAAACACTGAAACAGAGCTCCCTGCTATGAATCCTGGGTGGGGAATGAGTTTTCTTTGGGAGCTCAGGACTATATTTCCATGAGAACCAGACTGAAATGAACATAGTCATTTTGTCATTTGTTTTCATTGCTTAAAATTCAGGGAAACCATTTGATACAAAAATGATACTCAACAATGCTGTATCCAATGTCATCTGCTCTATATTGTTTGGAAAGAGATTTGAATATGATGATCCAGTATTTCTAAGTTTGCTGAAGCTGATAAATCAAAATACTAAGCTGCTGGGCTCCCCTATGGTGCAGGTAAGAGCTTAATTTTATGTTTTAGCTCTTTGTTCTTTGGGGGATATCCAGTTTCCAGCACTTGTTCTCCTGGCCTCCCACATCTTGCTCCTTGAGAACAAGAACATTATCAGTCAGTCAGCCTGTACAGAACAAATCTGTGGTTCTGTATCTGCAATGCACAGATTCCCAGACTCTGCACTTAGTGCAGCTTATTAGTAAAAAAAAAAAACCAAAACAACGAAGTCTTGAGGAAAGGAACTTTACCCTCTTTGAAGAGCAGAAGCACAATTCCAAACCTGCCTCCTTGAATTACAGAAAGAACATGCTATTTCTGCAGGAATCCAGAGCTCCTTGGACTGTAGAATGGGGGGAATTGCAGCCTGAAATGTCAGGGCATAGGACAAGGGACCAGCAGTGTGATTTGGGTTACCAGTATGTATTAAAAAATGCCAATTAACAGTAAAACTTCTCTTGCTCCACAGTTATATAACTTCTACCCATCCTTTGGATTTCTGTCTGGAGCTTCCAAGACTGTGCTACAAAATATCAGTGAACTGAATGCTTTTCTCCAGAAGCTCTTCCAGGAGCACAAAGAGGAGCTTAATGAAAATGACTTAACAGGCTTTGTTGATGCCTTCCTGGTGAAGCAAAAAAAGGTACTTTAAAGCTGAGTCCCAGTGTCTTTCTGTTCCCTTAGCTCTGACTTATTCTTAGGACTGGCCATCTGTCAGGGGCTGGGAGTGAGTGGAAAGAGAAGAACTGCAGAATATATCAAAGCTCATACACTGACCTGTGCTGGATTCACTCATGGCCCCACTGGAACTGCTGGTTAAAGGGATTTAGTTGTTGAGACATCCCATGAGGGTGAAATAAGCTCCCACTCAGCACACATAAGGAGGAGATCATCCCAAACCATCCTGCAGGAATGGTACAGTGATAAACTGTCTCGCAGTAAATAAATTCCAATTTATTGGAATTATTTCTAATATCTAAACTTGGGGATTACACATATGCTTGGGACCAGACAAATTCCACACAGCATAGACCCTAATGCCAAAAGACAAAATGTTTAGTTTTCCAGCACATATAAGTCACAGAAAGCTAAAATGCAGATAAAAATGGTGGCAACACAGTCACATATGGGTACCACTTGCTGTATTACCCACATGTTTTGAAGGAGTCAAAGAAACCACACACCGCATTCAGCAATGGAAACCTGATGTTTTCAACTCTGGACCTCTTTGCTGCTGGGACTGAGACTACATCCACAACTGTGCGCTGGGGGCTGCTTCTGATGATGAAATACCCAGAAATTCAGAGTAAGGAGGACAAGCCTCTTGTACAATTTATTGTTGCATGCTTATGGCTTTGGTTGTGGAAGGGAGTGGAACTCATTCAGTGCTGCCTAGAGTAATTATTTTGAGTGCTCTGAAAGAGATAGCAACTGTTGACTTTACAAAGGAATTTTATTCATCTGGATTGCAATAAACCAGCCCAGCCAAGTGGGAGAGGCTAAGGGGCAGCCTACAGTCACAGTGGAGCTCCCCCATCATTATTCACCTGCAGGCTATGGGCTTATGTCACTTAAGGTCTCCTCAGGAGCTGATTCTGATCTGGTTTCTGTTGAAGGTTATGGGGTAGCAAAGGTGTGTAATGAGAGCCAGGCATGAGATGGACTGTAGTGACTCCATTCAAGCTGCCTTAGCTCAACAACAAACCTGAAAGAACCACACCATCCCCTGACTTACCCACTTCTGCCCTTCCCAGACATTTACAGTTTTCCCTTTTCTTCATCTCTGCCAAACTGGTAGCCATTTCAGTTGCAAGATGAGATTGTTATCAGCTTCTTAATACCTTCCTCCCTCCAAGGAAAGATTCAGGAAGAAATGAGCCATGTCATTGAACCAGGAGAGCTGCCTAAATTGGAGGACCGGAAAAAAATGCCTTATACAGAAGCAGTAATACATGAAATACAAAGGTTTGCCAATATTGTCCCCATGGGCGTATCACGATCGACTCCCAGCGATGTGAATTTCCGAGGCTATGTGATTCCTAAGGTGAGCTCTGAGGCTGGCAGCTTATGCTGCACAGATTCCTCACAGCTTTCTTTAAAGCAGATGAAGAAACATAAATAACTGAAGACACAGTGATGTATGGTTTAATCTGTGCTGTGACCCTTTGTCTTGGATCCAGGATAATTATTATAAACATACAATAGATTGTGGTATGGTACAGTTGTTTGAATCATGATTAACCAGAGATTTAATTAAATCTCACTGCTTTGAATATTATATTTCAAATGTGGAACCTCTACCCCAGTACATTTGTTGAAGGATCTGACTTTGTAAGAGAGGAATGTTTTGTGGTTCAAAAAATAAAACAGCAGCTACTGAAAACAGACAGAGCCACGATGGGGCAGGGAAGCATTCCCCAGTTCTACTTGTCACATCTTATTTGCTTCTTCATATTAGGAAAAATAACACAGCCTGGGTCGAGTAGGAGAGTGGTCTCCTCATCCATGAGTTTCTTTGGTCCCTTTCAGGGTACTGAGATTATTCCACTGCTGACCTCTGCTCTGAATGATGAGTTACACTGGAAAACCCCAGATCAGTTCAACCCTTCCCATTTCCTGGATGCCAATGGGAACTTCATTAGGAGAGAAGCATTTATCCCATTCTCCATAGGTAAGAGGGGTGTGGGTGAAAGGCTAATGGCAGTTCCCCCTGATTTCAGGAAAGCCAGGGACACAGAACAGAGGGTAAGGGATTTCTGGTCATTTATCCTATCCACCACTGCTGTAGGTAGCCACCTCTTCTTTGGGAGAGATGGGAGACACAGATTTACTCACAGTCACTGAAAATTTTCATATATCTACAGACTTCTGTGTAGTTTGAGACCAAATCAGTAGCACTTCTAATGTACAGAAAAAAGGAAGGAGAGATTTCCTACCTCAGCAGCCTGCTCTTCCAGAATGTACCTCCAGTTTAGAAGGTCTCAGACATCAACATTAACAGTTACAGTGCTGATCATTAACTTCTCCCCTGGTTGTTTTCAGGACGAAGGGCTTGCCTTGGTGAAGGACTGGCCAAAATGGAGCTGTTCCTCTTCTTTTCGGGCTTGCTCCGCAAATTTGTTTTCCAGCCTCCTCCAGGAGTGGATAAGTCAGACCTGGATCTCACTGCTGATGTTGGCTTTACCCTGACTCCCATGCCTCACCTGGTCTGTGCTGTGCCCTGTGAATGATCAAACAGCACAGCATTAGAGTAGTGAACACTTCAAGCTTTAAAGCAAATCTAGCAACAGTGGGGAAAAGCTGTCCCTGGGCTTTAGGGGAAGGAAGACACCAGGCATTGTTATTTTCTCTCACTCATGACATTCTCTCCAACAGCTCTTGCAATGTCTGTATAATGCAAACCCTTTGGACAGCTCTGAGTTCTGCTCTCAGTAACTGTGATTCATTCCTGGAACATCAGAGATGCTGTTTTCAGGACACTTTGAAAGAGTGAAATGCCTTCAGACCTCCTCTGTAGATGTAACCATCAGAGCTCTCCCCTGACAGCCTCTATGGGGAATTTCTCAGCCCAAAGTCCAAGCCCTATAGCTGAGCTGATCAATGGCCCAGCTGGAGACAAGAGACACTCAAAGGATCTGGAAATCTCCTCAGGATGGTTGTTCAGCTGAGCCTCAGACTGAGCTTCCATTGTGCGATACAACCTGCCTTATCTTTATTACAGAGTCCCAGACACAAGGGTGTAACATGGGCTGATGCCAAGACCCAGGGACGGGACAGTTATCAGAAAACATCTAAGTGGTTTGGGAAGTGGGTTCTTTCCAACTCACACTGGGCACTTTATGCTGAGCAGCCCATTTATGATGGGGCCAATGGAGCAGCTTTCCGTTTCTGCTAAGAGAGGCATTTCTACCACTCCCTCACCTCTCCTGGCTTCATGCTGGCTCTGGAACTTGTCCAATCCCTTATCAGGCCATCTTAGATCCCTAAACTGGCAGAAAATGAGCAGCCATGGCAAAGGAAGAGTTTCTGAATCAGCGTGGCTGCAGAGATACGAGGCAGTGTGAGGGCAGTGGAGCTGGGGCTGGGCAGCAGGACTGCCACGCTCCACCAGAGAGCTGGGAGAGGCTCAGCCCCCTGCTCCACTGGCACCTCAGGAGCTGTGCTTGCTCTGTAGATCTTCTCTACCCTTCACAGAGAAAAAGGATCCTTCAGGGGACGAATCAGCTGTCATAAGGCTGTAATTTCTCACTCTCTGCACTGACTACAGGGGAACCATCATCCACAGGCTCCTAATTCCAAACTTCAGTCTCAATCACCAGGTGTGCTGTGATGAATAGGGACAGTATTGTCCATTTGACTGAAAATGGGGCAGTTATGGTAAACCTACAGCAGAAAACTAAAGTTACTGTCATCTAAAACTGAGCTGTGCTGCAAATGGAAGGAAAGGATTGAGAAAGAATATGAAGGGATGACAAAATATAGCAGCCTCCAGTCAAGACACTGACTCTCCTCACTAGCTTCCGTTCACACAATAAAGGCAGCACTCTAACAGTGATTCTGCACCTTCTACTTGTGCTGGCATTGCACTTGGTCAGGGGCTGTACCACCAGCTCCAGCTCCTGGGCACAGCTCAGGGAGTGCTCAGCAAGCTCTGTGACAAGGAAGCCTCTGCTGCTGCGCTTGCTTACGTTTGTTTTGCTGTTTCTCTATTTGCAGTCTAACTACTGCAAGCCTGACCTTATCACACACTTAATCATTAAATATTTTGTTCTGCTGCTGTTGATTTATCTGGTGTGACAGTATGAAGTTGATTTCAGGTCAAACTGATAAAGCTGGGCTGCACCACCTCCAATACTCCTGCACGAGAGCGGTGAGCACAGGGATCCGTGGGCAGCCTGCAGCCAGGACATGTTCAGCAGCACAAAGAGTGAGCAATACTCACAGCCACAAACATCTCAAAGGAAATAGCTGGACTTCTAGCTCCAGAAAATCCCAGCTGCTGTGTGAGGTAGGACATGACTCTCTGATGTAGCCCCTTTCAGTGGTTCCTGTGTCTCTTGCCCGTGCTTACAAGGAACCCACCACAGTAAAGGCCCACAGGAGTTATCCAAGGCTCCAGTCTGGGATGCACTGCTGGTCAAGAATGGGGCTGGCAGGAAAGGCACAGAGATTTTGGGGGATTTAGGTTAAAGGATGCAGGGCTGGTGCTTTAGTGGCCCAGGCTGGCTGGCTGGCAGTGCTGTGGCTTACCTTTAGGTGGCTGATACCCAATGCCCCGCGCCCTCACCAGTACCACCCGGGTCACAAGCAGTGGCTGAATGCCACGTGGGCATGAGGGATGGAGGACAACTGGGCCATGAGCACCCTGAGGGCCCTGGCTGCCCCAGGAATGCTCCCAGAGCAGTGTCAGTGCCTGGTGCTTTGTGCTTGGCTCTGTGTGCTCAGGCAGGGCAGCACGTAGCAGCGCGGCTCCGGAGCGAAACACGTACCAGACACATTAGTGAGACAGGAATTTCTTGTCATCGCAAGACTTTTACTTACCTTTGTCATTTTAATGCATTGCACTCAGAGCCTGCGTTGAAAAAAAAACCACAATACACTCCCCCTGGCTTTTCAGAGATAATTTAAGTCTCTTTCTGAAAGGCCTTTTTATAAGTTCAGAGGCTCCCAGGGCAAGGATGAAATACCAGGAGAGCAGAAGCAGCACATAACTTTTGCCCTGCAGGGTGCTGCTGGTCCAAGAAAACCCTGAAGGAACAAACATTTTGCCCAGGCACAGAGCATGTGCCATTGCAAGTTCTCATCGCAGTGCCCACGTTCTGCATCCTGTGCCAGCTGTGATCCTTCCTGCCTGTCTTCACAGCCCCTCTGCCTCTTAGCTCATAGAGCAGGCAGGGCTGAGTCATCCTAGGCATGCTGTGGGGGAAACCATTGCCTCCAGCCCATTTCTTGGAAACTAATAAAAAATAAATCCCAGAAATGTTGCGACACACTGCCTGCTTCTGCTTCTGGGTGGCTGTTGTGCTGCAACATCTCCACACCACGCAGGTAGCTCTGCTGAGTGCCCAGCAGCTGTTTGCTCCAGGACCCTGCTGACCATGCCCCACTTTGGATCACATCCACCTCCTTCCTTGCCTTCTTTGCATTTACAAGGCTGAGGGTCCATATTTGCTAAATAATGGCCTTTATATGATCTAACCTTTGGACAAATGTACCTTTGGCCTTGTGCTTCCTCATCATGTAAGACAGCCCTTTCTTCCCTGAATGATTTTATTCCTTTGGCTGGTTATGCCAAACTTCCTCCTGAAAACCACTATTCAACCAGGTAGACCTCAATTATTTTCTACAAGGCTTAAGCCTTTATGAGGGATGCAAGCTCCAGGTGTTTAGTATCTTTGACTTAAAACCATTCTGTTCTCCTGTCTTGTTCCCCTTCTGGAGCCTGCCAGGTCAGCTGGCTTCATTAACTTCATTAACTTCTTCCCTCTATCCCTTAGAATCTGCTCTTGCAAAATGAAGTCCTCCCAGAAGCTTCAAATATAATTTTTCCTTTCAGCTGCACTCATGAATCCACTCACGATCACTTGATCCAACCTAATTTTCCGTGGCTAGCTATTACATGTCTTCTACCTCAGACACAAAGTCTGAAATCACATCCCTCCCAGGCAGTTCAGAGCTGACTTTATGAAGAAGTTTATGGGCTACAACCCCCCAGGGGTAGTTTGGCTTTACCATTATTAACAACCTTTGATCTCCACTTGACATCAAGAAAGCTAAAGTCTCCTGTAACAATACCGATTTTTGTCTCCAGTAACATGGAGATCTCAAATCCTACCTAAACCTGAATCTGGAGGTTCTAAAAGGATTCCAAGAGCCTTTTCATATCCCTGTGTCAGCAGAGTGCTTGGAGGGTCATAGCACTGCTAATGAAGGACCTTGAGGTCTCAGGGAGGAGGAGGTGATAGAGGAATGCCAAGCACCTTTTCCCATGTATATGTTCTTGCACACACATGCATGGGTTTGTAATTTGAAACTCTCTTTACTTCTGGACAGGCTTTGCAAACTGCTTAGACCACATTCTCTGAGGTGTTTAAAGAGGGTGGAGTATGCAGTATTTATTTAGGTACTCTACAAACCTTAATAAGAATTGAGTGCTTGTAGCAATTGCAGAGAGCAAACAGAAAGCCAGCTGGCAGAAACTGAACAGTGCCACTGCATTTTTATTGCTTCTAACCCCAAAAACCAGATTATTACTAAAAAAAATGTCTTTTTTAATTTCATTTCTCTCTGATCCTGCATTAGTTTGTCTGCTGTGTGCAGCAGTATTATTAGCTGTAGCCTATTTTTCAACTGGCTATAAAAATCCAGCTTTTAAATTACCTCCTGGTCCAACTCCTCTTCCGATCATTGGTAACCTGCACTTGGTGGATCTTAGAAGGCAAGATAAATCACTAATGAAGGTAGGACAAAAAACCCCTAACCCAGACCCTCATAGATTTTAAAGCTGCCTGTGATGTATCAGTGAGAACTTTTTGTCTTTTTTAATTCAAACTAAATTGTAAAGGTGTGAAAATTGCTTTATAATATCTTTCTGGGCTTCTTCTAGTCAATGTCTGTGTTGATGCAATGTAATTTAGGAGCAATCAACCATTAAAAAAAGACCTCTGGGTAATACGGGATTTCTTCATGTAATTGTGATGATGTACATGAAGTCTATAATGCTTTTGGGATTTGAAATATTAATTTGACAGCTTGGACACCCAGAAATCTTTTAAAGCATTAGGATATAACTAACATGAATTAAATTGCTTCCCTCCCCTATGCCCCGGAGATGTGGCAAGAGGAATTCCACAATGCAGTGACCCCAAAAGTGCCGCGGAGAGGGTCAAATCCGGACGCTCCATTGCAGAATCCCTTTCCATCTTGATGAATGGGATACGCATTAAAGTCCAGCGCAAAGGAGAGATGGGAGAGCTGTGCTGAGGTCCCAGATTGAATACCCTGTGAGCTGTACACTCACCTGTAATTAAGCCAGCTTACCCCACTGACGGTGGCGGTCAGTCCCTGCTGCAGGACGAGGCGTTCCCGCCTGGCTGGCGGCGCTGACCCACGCTGGGGTCACGGGGAGAGTGACCCAACAGGCAGGGGGTTCAGAGCCAGCTGTCCACGGCTCCTGTGACACCAGCACTCGGCAAAGCGGGCTGTGCTGCGGGAGCAGGGGGTTCCTGCTGCCGTGGGGTGAGGCCCCAGCACCTGGAGCTGTTACGGGCAATGTCAGGGCTGGGGTCAGTTTACCCAGCAGGGCTGGGCAGATGCTGCTGCAGCCTCTGAACGGCGCTTTGGAATTACCTCCGCGTGCTTTTGTCCCTTGCTAGGCTGTGCTTGGTATTGCCTGTGTTTGCCTTTGCTTTGGGATTTCTCCAGAGGGGTTATCCCTCCATCTCACCCCACAGAGAGCAAAAAATGGTGTTTGCACTAAGCAGCTGGCACCGACTGGGGTTTGTTGGGTGGGCACCCCCTTTGTCCTGTGAAAGAGACACTGCTCCCCCGGTCAAGGGCAGGATGCAGGAGTGCTTTAGTACACCAGGAACATCAGACCAAAGCTTTCCTCTGTGACAGCATCAGTATTTGCACTGAACTATCTTCTCTTCTTGGTCTTTCTCCAGTTTGCCAATTTTAGCTGCCATTTGAGGTCCAGTTTTTAGATGGGTCTTTTCGTTTTTCATTTATTTTCTCCTTAACAGCAAAACCAGATTAGTGATGCACTGATGGGGGTGGGGGCTCCTACATCTACAGATGCCAGTGAGGCATCTGTACAAAACACCTCATGTTTGACCATGATGAGCTCTGGCTCACAGGTGCCCTTCTGCAGGTAGTGGCTCTGCAGCCATTCCCAGCAGGATGCCTGGATAAAAAATATCCTTTCAGACAGCAAGAGGTGCTGTTTACTGCATGTTCCCTCCCTTCCTGACCATCACAGCTTGCCTCTTTTTTTCAGCTTGCAGAAAAATATGGCCCCATCTTCACCCTCCACTTTGGGTTCCAGAAAGTTGTGGTCCTGACCGGGTACGAAGTTGTGCGAGAGGCGCTTGTGAACTACACAGAGGAGTTTGTAGACAGACCATCCATCCCAATATTTGACCAAATTCAGAATGGAAACGGTACTAGAGGGGAGTGGGAGGGATGACGCTGTCGTTTAGTGTCTGTGATGATGATGATGATGATGATGATGATGATGATGATGATGCACAGCCTAACTGCATCCCTAGAGCCCAGCTTTTAAACATCCCCTTGGGCCCTCCTGAAGCCAAGTGACAGCAAACATTTGGCTCTCCTTGCATGCAATGACTCCTGGCCTTCCATCATTTCTGCTGACACAGTTGCAGCCATATCCAAAAAGTTGAGGGGTGGGAGGAGTGGTATTTTTGAAGGCACTCTGGTAATTCTGGGGTTAATCTCTGTGAGATGTCAGTGTGAGTGGCTCACTGTCACATCCGTGTTTATGAACCCTCTGCTGGTTTCCAGGAGACTTTGGACTACCTGGCTTGGCTGTTGGGAGCTGTGTGCTTTTTCCCTTTATCCTGCTGCCTTTGTTGTGTCAGTTCCCACACCTTTGCCTCCTCACAAAAGTTCTCAGGTTGATCAGCCTGAAATGGGTTCAGGCAGAAGCAAGAGGCTGAGGCTGGAAATTCACCCCCACAAATAATCCCATGTTTTTTTCCAAGGTTGCTTTCCACTCCTGACTATTTCAGAGGACTTTTTTCTTTGTCCATCCTCTGCTTCATGTGAGGCTTTGGCTGGGAGAACCAAAAGGCAGCTTTATATGCTGGTCATAGGCTGAAGCTGGGATTAGAATTAGAAATTAAATTAGCCAGCTGTAATATCAATAGATGAATTTTTCGCTACATAAATAAAAGGAATCAATGAGGAGAAAGGTATTTTTTAGAGCTAATTTACATGTAAAACATCCCTGTGGGAGACAATCAGCATTGCATTGTGAGTCCTTTCACATTCACCTTCTCAGCTCAAGTCTGAGGCACTTAGAGGTGACCCAAAGATGGAAGTTTTCACAGGCTGTTGAGCAATAATGGTCACAAATTTTTCCATGAAACATTTTTTCTTCAGAAATGCCGATTTTTTGACTGTGAAGATGCTCTCAGAAAAGGAACGATCCATATGAAATTGCATACATTAAAGAAAAATTAAAAATTGTGAAGTTTAGAAATTTGCTTTGACATTTTTGGAGCAAAAAGTTTTGTTATCCAAATTAAAACTACACTGCTTTAAAACAGAAAAGCAAACATATTTAAAAGCCTCACAGCCACAATGAAGATGTGAAGTGCTGGCATCCAGCTTTTCAAATGACCACAATCTGAGATAGTTTTTGGATTATTGACCTCACTTTTTCTTTACAGCACTCTGATGAGATGAAATACCCATCCCTACTTGGAGGTGGTAGAGATCATGGTGGCATGAGCTCAGAAACATCCACAAAAATGTCAGCATTTTTGCCACTGCTGGGAATACAGCACTGCTGGGAATCTCCATAGAACAGTTTAGGGTTGAGGAGACTGAATTATCCCATCCCATACAGATAAATTACCTTTGTGACTAAAATAGGATGAAGGGAGAAGCTTCAGACACACAAGGTGCTGGAGGCCCCAGACTTGCAACCAGCAGGGTCAGAAATGTCCTGTGACTGACTCAAACCAACATCTCCCCCCAGTTCTACAGCCAACCCATACTGGTCTGAAAGCCACAGCTGCCCACCTGCCACTCAGGAGAGGACTGGGGTAACTGTGCTGGGAGGGAGCTTGCCTTTCCCAAGCTACAGGCTCAGTGAGAATGGAGCTGAGAGGGTAGAGGGATGAGGCACACAGAAAGGGGAGACCTGTAGTCCCTAAATCCGTGTGAAAACAGGCAGCAGAAACACCTGTGGAGCTCCCTGCTCACCCAGTGCTGTTTGGTTTGGTGTGGGGGGCTCCTCTGTGCCTGAGCCCAGCACATTTCTCACGGGCTGCCCAGGTCTGTTCTTCTCCATCGGGGAGCTGTGGAGGACAACGCGCAGATTCACCGTCTCCAGCATGCGCAACCTCGGCATGGGGAAACAAATGATAGAAGGCAGAATCTTTGAGGAGCTTCACTTCCTCATCGAGATGATCAAATCCTTCAAAGGTGAGCTGGGGATGATGGCAGGGCTCTCCAGCCTCGAGTGTGTCACAGCTGCTTCACATCTCACTGCTTTCCCATCCTGCTCCCGCTGCAGGGGAACCTTTCAACCTGCCGTCCTTCAACTGCGCTCCCATCAACGTCACCTTCATCCTGCTCTTTGGGGACAGGTTTGACTACAAGGACCCAACATTTCTCACTCTCTTAAGACTCATAGATGAAGTTATGATTCTTCTGGGATCCCCAAATTTAAACGTAAGTAATCTATCCCACAGATGTAAAATTTTTTTACACTGGCACGTGAGCCACTCCGACCATAGGATTTACTTCAGCAGTTTTCAAATGCTCAGAACCAGCCAGTACACCTAAAACATGACAGTTCTCCACGTGCCACTTTGGTGGCACCATCTGCTTCAGATCCCCCTTGCCTGCTTTCCTTTTGACCCATCCTGCACATTTGTGTGGAGCTAAAATGAGAGCTGAGCTATGGTTACTTTAGCTTATGAAATTGCCTGGGATGTCCCTGGGATGCTGAGATACTGAAGACAAAACTCAGCTGATACATTGGCCCTTAGGAAAAAGCTGTTTCAGCATGTGCCCAGGTGATTCTGTGTGATTCTGTGTGGCATTTCTGCAGGCCTAATGCGTCTCTTTTTTAATCTCTCATTAGTATTTCAATTTCTACCCGTTCCTTGGATTTCTTTTCAAAACCCACAAGATTATGCTCAAGAAAATCGAAGATGTGCGTGCCATTTTAAGGCAATACATGAAGGCAAGCAGGGAGGATATCAATGAGAACAGTGTGAGGAGCTACATCGATGCACTGGTATTCAAGCAACAAGAGGTATTGCACTGCTTAGCTCTGTTGGCTGCTTGCAGTGTCTCCTTTGATTTCCTAGCTAAACGAGTTGCTGAGTCTTGATTTCAGTCATGTCATGTACATCTATTGAAATCCATGCTGTTACTCTAGTGGTAATTAAATCAGATGCCAGGCTCTTACAATTGGTACATTTTTCTATCAAAATTAAGATACAAAAGCTACTCTCAATCCACTCCTGAAATAGTAGCACTAATAATGTGAGATCAACTACTTGCTCCTAGTAGAAAATGCATGAATTCACATGAAAGCTGACTCTGCTTTTCTTTTTATGAAAACAAATCAATTAATCATTGATACAGTTGCTCCATCAAGATGAATGATCCCCTTAAAGTACTTGAATGATAAATCATCAGTACAAGTCCTAACCCTGCTCTGCATCTTACTTAGCAGAGGCTTGGCAGTTTCACACATCAGTTGATTTCATTCAACACAAAATATTTGGGCTCTGGGCTTTTCCTTCTTTCCAGCTGGATCCAGGCTGACCTTAGGCACTAAGTATTCTACTCAGCTATGTGAAGGAGGAGTTAGCACAGTACTAAAGCCCAGGCAGATATTGCCTGAAAGGCGATTTTGAGCATAGTTGGGGATTCAAACCTGGCCTTGAGCAGGAGGAGGAGTACCTCAGAGGTAGGATTAGCTGAATCTTCTTCTGTTCAGGGCAGAGACCAGGCTCTTTCCAAACCTGCAAGGCTGAATCTATGAACAGCAGCCAGCTCCAGGTTTCAGCCTGCTTTCAGGGGAGATGGGTGTTGAACCAAAACTCCCCTCCAAACCCTCCATCTGTGGCACTCCATATCTGGTGGATGCTGTGCATTCAAGATCAGGTGTGTTTTATCACCCACTTCACAAACACAAGACCACAGCCAGCTGTGCTTAGGTTATGCAGCATTTCCTGAGCTTGCTGAATACTCAGACTGATGGTTTTATGACTTTTCTTACCTCTTGTGTTTTTCAAGGAGAAGAACAAGAAAGACAGCCTCTTCCATGATGACAACTTAATGGCATCCATACTTGACCTGGTTATGGCTGGAACAGAGACCATTGCCACCACACTCCAGTGGTCCATCCTGCTCATGATGAAGTACCCAGAGATTCAAAGTGAGCAGCTTTTACCTACTCCATCCATGACAAGGCTGAAATGGGGAAGGAAGAGGCCTGGGCTCAAATCCACAGCAGCTCTCTTGCCTTGAGAGCTGAATCCTAGCTCTCCTCTGTGATGAACTCCTAATGTAACTAAATGCTGATCAAAGTCACAATAAAATAGCCCCTTTGACTTGCTAGGAGAGAGGATGAATGGAGGTCAGAGTATGATGCTGAGAAAGCAACCCATCCACATGCCTGAATTAACCAAAGAGCAGGGAAACCCATACTGCTGCTTTAAAAATCCTCTCTCTCTTCAAACTCTGGAAAAATAGGTTTTTTTCCCCCCCCCAAACCAAATCCGAGGAGGAAGTTGGCTTCCTTGCTGGGACACATCCCTTTTGTTTGTTCCTTCCAGAAAAGGTTCAGGAGGAGATTGGGAGAACGGTCAAAGCTGGGAGCTGGGCCACTTATGAGGACAGGAAGAGCATGCCCTACACCAACGCGGTGCTGCACGAGGTGCAGAGGTTCATCACCCTCCTGCCACACGTGCCCCGCTGCACTGCTGTTGACACCCACTTCAGAGGCTACTTCCTTCCCAAGGTAGGTATCTGCTCCCCCCCAGGAACACAAAACCCTCCCCAGATCCGCCAGTGCCACTGGAGAGTGGTTTAGTTAAAGGGAATTACGGGACAGAGTCCAAAACCGTTCCCAGAAGAGTTTCTATATTGAGCCCAGAGTGTGTCACAGGACTCAGTCCAGTCCCTCTCATGCTCAGGACTTCCTCACTCCATGAGCAGTGCTGGTTCACCTCCTTGCTGCCATCTGCACAGTGAAGTATCTGCCAGAGAATTTGTAGGATCTTACCTTCCACTTGAGGTTTTCGCAGCACCATGTGGGGTTTGGCTTCAATCCTTGGCACTAGTGGGAAAATCTCACTGATTTCTCTCTGCTGGATGATGGGATAAAACCCTCATGGTCTCCACCTACCCCAGATGGAGCAAGTCTCCAGGGACACCAAAGCCTGTGTGAGAAAATGAACCAAAACAGCACTTTGCTATCTCTTGTGCCTTTGTGTACTTTTCTTCCAGGGTATAATTGTAATCCCATCCCTTACCTCAGTGCTGCTGGATAAGACACAATGGGAGACACCACATCAGTTCAACCCCAACCACTTTCTTGATGCTGAAGGGAATTTTGTAAAGAAAGGAGCTTTCCTGCCCTTCTCCACAGGTAACTAAAGGGAGGACCTGCACAGGTGGCAGGGCCATTTCATTACAATACACATTAATGAGGCCTTCATGTCTAAATACTGCCCTTAACTCAGTCAATAAGCAACCAGACAACTGAATGGAATCAATTGTTCTGCATCTGGGCAAATGGCTGCTCTGACAGCACAGCTCTCCCACTGCTAAATATAGCACAAAGAAGGGTAGTAAAGAAGAAACACACTCTTATCGGAAAGAGGTATGTGAGGATAAATTCCACAGGAAAAGTGAGTATCAAACTATTCCACTTTGTAAAGAGGTAGCATTCTTGTATCAGGCTGCTTTCCAAAATAAAGGGTTAAAGATGCTGAGAGGGTTGGAAGAGCTAAGGAGAGAAGAGGGCACACCATAATAAACCTGTGAAATGGCTGTAGCCTGTGACAGGCAGGAACCTTCAGCAACACAGGCCCCTCTACTCCAAAATGCTTTAGTGCATTTCAAGGTTTCCCTCCTACTCCCATTGCAACATCTCAGACTCTAATGTGCCCATGGCAAACATTCCAGTTGGATTTTTCCATGAGGTAAACACTCTGCTTTCACCCGCAGGGCGGCGGAACTGCATCGGAGAAAGCCTGGCCAAGATGGAGCTGTTTGTCTTCTTTGTGGGGTTGCTCCAAACATTCACTTTCCGACCCCAGCCGGGAGTTTCAGAGTCTGACTTGGACCTCACCGTCCCCCAAACGACTTTCACATTAAGGCCTCAGCCTCAGGCAACGTGTGCTGTGCTGAGGGAATAACCACGGCCTTGGCCCAGAGCCTCGGGGTCCAAGAGCCCAACTTTGCTCAAACTCACCATCCCCATCCTGCCACACCACCACATCCCCTTCCCACTGTCTCCATCCAGTGCCCCTCCACCACTCCATCCTCCCCAGGGCTGCTCTTTGCTCCTGTGCTGTGGGGGAGATGCAAAGGCAAACCCCGGTGCTCACAATCACACCCCACCTCTCAAGACAGATGGTGCACGGAGCTGGTGAAGGGACCAAGCCACTGCTCTGGTGGAGGGGATGCAGCCCATGAGCAGCAGGAACAACACCAGGCACCCAGGTTCACCATGGTGCTGTCACAGAAATCTGCCTGGAATCCTGAGGAGGAACAAACCACGGTTTGCTGGAGGCCGCACAAAGACGCCGTGGATCACACGTGGATCACACATCCATAGACACCTCCCGAGCTTTCCCACAGCTCACAGCAAAATCCTACCTGGATTTCACCTGCCAGGCAGCCAAGCCAAACCCAGAGTGAAAAATCTGATCGGTTCATGTGATTTGAGGACTCAGTCACTTCTGCCTTGGAACAGTGTGCTGGGAGATGTCCAGAGTCTGCAAACCTCTTCAGATAAGCAAGTGCTGCTACCAAGCTCAACACTGCTCCCCAGTCAGAACGAAACAGGAGCTGCATTTCTAAGTTTGCAATTTAAATCATGAGGCCACATGAGATTTGCACCAGCATCCAGTCATAAAGGGCTAATGATACAGAAAAATAAACTATACCCACTGGTAGCTTTATGCATCTCTGTCCTTCCTGACCTTGTTAAATAGCAGCAAAGATCGTTCCCTCTCTTCAGATATCCTGGTTAATGTTAAGAGCCTACACCAGCAGTCATTCTAGTGTTTGGGATGGTCTGGCCTTTGGAGTCAGCCATGCAATTCCCCTGCAAATGCAGTCTAATTTCACAGTGCTTGTTTTGCACACACACATGCACAGAGAAGGGATCAGGGATAAATGAGAGCTGGTTTTGGTTGGCTTCCTTTCCTCTGTAGCTCAGCCTGCCTGTTGTCCCTATCTGTGGCACTCTTACATGCCATCACATTCACAGCCTTACTCCAGCTGACATAGAGCTGGGGCAATTTTCCATACATTTATCTGCCTGTGACTTCCCACTCCTCCAATGCATTTTCTTATCATGTGCTTTATCATATTGTTTGTTTCCCCTTCATGGGAACCCAATAAAGCTTTCATCCCATGTCCTCATTACATTTCCTATGCCTGGCACCCAACTTTGCAGCACAGAAATGCAACCACCATGAAAGGCTGGTCCTGAGCCCAGAGTGACAACAAATACCAAGTTAGATGTATCTCATGGGTGAGAAGTTCTGCATATGCTCATCCTAGCAAACACCAGCTCGACCACAGGCCCTCCATACCTGCAGGGTTCTTTCACCAGGGCAAATTCCTCAGCTATGGGCTGTGAGTCAGCCCTGGGGACTGCCTCAGTTCTTCACCTCAATGCCTCTTGCTTGCAGAGGCTGAATTAAAGGTTGCCACCACAGCCTCCCTGATGCTGGTGCTGACCCTCTGCTTTGGATGCGAGGGGAAGGAGAGACAGGTAAAGCAACTGGGAGCAAACCATGTATCAACTCTGTGAAGGAAGCCTTGGTCATGCTGAAATAAAAATAAGGATTTTTGCCTTTGGCTTCAGAAAGGCCAGGACTGTTCCTGTTTTAAACCCTCCAAAAATAGTGTGAACTCTAAAGTTAGATAAGGCAGAAGGGCAGTGCTCTAAGGAGCAGCACTGAACTGGGCTCAACTCTGCACAAATTCACTGGTGGAACCTCAGACCTGCCCCCTTGCCATGGGCTCTCAGGTTCTCGGCTTTGAAGTAGAGAGATGGATTCCTTTCTCCATGGCACAGCAGCCTTTGGAGCTGCAAACATCCAACAAAAACAAGTTCCTTTGATTCCTTTGAAAAATGCATCCTACTTGTGACTGTGTCAGCAGATGGATAGGAGTGATCCCTCCCCAGCACACTGAATTACACCACTGAATATATCTCCATAAAATAAAGTGCCTGTCTCCTGTTTATTTGCTCAGCCAAGCGATGGCAGAACATTGATTGTGACTCAGCTATCTATTTATCTAGCAGAAAACATTGGCTCTCAGAGGTGGAAATACCATTTCCACATTCCACAGTGCCCCTGAGGGTCTTCCCTGTAGCTGCAAAACATGTTTGTGCTTTGCAACTCTCACCTGGATGGAAGGCAAACACCTTGGGGCAGGACAGGTGCCTTGATGTTTAGAGTCAGATCTGAACAACCCCAACCCACCTTGTGGCTCACGGTGCTGGCAGCTGTCCCATGGCCCACCTGCCACCCCCAGGGCTGTGTGATGCTGGGACCAGGGGCTGCTGCCCTCAGAGGGGCAAGGATCGCAGCAACTCCACCTGCAGCCCCTCTGCACTGGCCACAGCAATGAGCATCGCACACAATCCAATTTCTACTTTATTTTTGCCACGAGATGGCACCACGATCCCTCTGAGTCACAGCCAGCCCAGCCCTGTGGTCCTTTCAGGGCTAGAACGCCCTGCCAGCACAAATTTGGGCTGGGGAAGGAGTCAGAACTAAGTCTTTAGGGTTTATGCCCCCCCAGTCCAAGTGCACTCACCTGCTGCCAGGCTGGGTGCAAATATATTCATTTCCCATTAACCTGCAAGAATCAGGTGGCGTGCAGGGAATGGCTGGGGTTAAATTCATCTGGCAACTCCCATTTTACCCATTTTCTCTGGCAGGGATGAGTAGAGGGATCCCTGCCGTTCCCCACAGCACAACCATGCTCTGCTGTAGCGTGTGTGGATGTTGCAAGCTTCTGGCCTGCCCACTCAGCATTCCTCCCTTTGGGCTGTGTCTGGCAGCCAGCTTCTTCCTCTGGAGAACCAATTCCTGGGCTTGCACCTGCCAATAATGCCCTTTGCTACTGAAGATACCCAGTTCACTGGAATTACTGGCTAATATGTGACCTGGCCCTAACCCAGCAGGGTGGAGGAAACCCAGAGGTGCAATGTAGTGTCCAAAAAACCACATGGATACAGCACTTGAGGACATGGCTTAGTGGTGGACATGGTGGTGCTGGGTTGATGGTTAGACTTGATTATCTTCAAAGACTTTTCCAACCTAAACAATTCTGTGATTAAGCTACAACAGCTGTTGTCTGTTCCCCAGTGATGAAGCAGAGGAAAGGCGTGGGCCAGGCTCCCCTGCTGCCCAGCTGCTCTCTCCTTGCCTCCAGCAAGGCAGAAGCAGTGTCCTGGCAGCTCAGAGGCAGCACTGCTCTGCAGGACACGAACAGCAGAGAGTGATGAGAGGAAGGAACAGGCTCCAGGTTATGAAGAGTGAGCTCTAGGAAAAGGGAAGTGTGCCTTACCCTGAAGCCACGCTGGCACTGGACTGGACTCAGAGGAGATGAGGGATTAGGAAACTGGCTCTTTCCCACCAAGGGCCCTGTGCTTGAGGTTTGCTCACTCCTGGTGCCCTGAGGATCACTGGTGTGCTGCACCCCCTTCATCTGGAGAGCAGCAAGTCCCCTGGGGGTGGAGCAGCCTTTAGAGGGGGGGTCAGCTGAGGTGCACAGGGAACCTGTGGCAGGAGAGTGATCAATGTCCACACCTCATGGATCACTGTATTGGGAAATGCCATCTCCAAGGTAGGGAAGCAGGCAGGGCCAAGAACTCAATCTCTGTGTTAACCTTTCCTGCAGGGCAAAGGAAAGGCACAGTGCTAAAACACCCATGAACCCCAACTCCTGCTGAATGCTGGTTGGAATACCCCAGGACAGGAGATCTGCAGCCCCTGGCATAGAGAACAACCTCTCAGGTGCTTTGATCTTGAATGGCAGCGTTCAGTGCTTGGATGGAGGTGGAGAGCATCCAGATTTTGGATGCTCTGGCCTACATGAGAGCCTAAGAAGCTTTTACAGGTGAGCATCACTTAGAAAGTGACTGCAGGACACTTCAGCACATGGTGTAAGCAAAGCAAAACCTTACTTTGAATCTCAGGCTCCCTCAGCAGCAGCAGGATGGCCCCATTGCAGGATGGCTGTGGATGTTGTTTGAGTGCCAGCCATAACAAGGGGAGCGCAGGAGCATCATGGTCTGCATAAAGAAAACATGTATTGCTTTTATTAGGGATATATGAAGAAAAATAAAAGCACTTTTAGCATAACAAAAGAGATCTAGGACAGGTAACCCGGGCTCCAGAGACATTACAGTGGGATGCAGGCAAGTGACAAGTTGCATCACATTGATATTTCAGTACAGAATTTCTTCAGTTTTCAGAAGAAATATTTACACACTTGAGATTTTTGCAGCCCCAAAATGAACCAATTGCACAAATTAATCCATTTTTCAACACCACATGACATTTATCTGCTCTAGGCAGTGGTTGTATGACCAGCTCAGGACTTCCAACCACTACCTGTGGATCCTGAGAAAGCAGAAATGTGATGAGAGGTGCAGAAAAATACCTAAGTGAGGGAGCTGGAATTTATCTGTGTGTGTGTGCCAGGCCCTTCTGTGAGCCACAGGAGAGTCATGAAGATTCAGGACACCGCTGACACATCAGCTCCACTGTTCCTGCTGCTGGTGGGAAACACCTTCCCCAGTCACACTGCCCGGCCCAAGAATGCGGATGCAAACACTTGGAGAAAAAGGGCAAACACAGGCTGATCCAGACTCCCACACAACAGCTCCTGTTGTGAAATCCACCACGTGGGAGCTGGTGAGGGGTTTACACAAATGCCATTGGAATTTCTGCATCTCTGTAACTCTGCTGCCTCCTCCCATGCCCGTAGGGAGGGATGTCTCTGCCTGGAGAGTGCTGGAAAAGTGACATTGCCTCGCTCTCCAGCAAGGAATGGACTGTAGCTGACAGCTGGTGACAACATTTTTCTGGTTTTTCCTTCAGGATGAAGTATTGAGCATACTAAAATAGGAGGATGATTACCCAAAACTTGAATATTTCTGTACAGTCGCAGAGCGTGTTCATTAGACAATAATCTCATCAGCACCTCTGAATAAGGTACAGCACTAGGAATCATCATATCATCATATCACATCAATACCTCTTGTTTGAATACCAAAGCATCAATGTAGCTCATCAGGTTGTTCTCATTAATACTCCCTTTCCTTTCCTTGAGGCATTTCTTTATGATCCCACTCACCTCATCTACCTTTTTCAACATCATCTTGGGAGGTTGGAGGAGAAATCCAAGGATTGGGTAGGAATTAAACAACTAAAAAGAAAAAAGAAAAAAAAATCACATAAAAATTAAACTCACCCATTACCTTGTAACACTCAAGTGTCTTAATGGAGGAATCATTTATGTGAGCAACCACATGATGTGGCTGGAGTCTCTTTTTTGGTAACTAAAAAAATTTTATGTATAAAAGAGCCTCCTCTTAGTTAAAATTCTCTACAGAAATGAATGGGGCCTATCAGACTTGTCTAGATAGAGCCTATAAACATGAATTAAATTAAGAGAAAGTGGTAGTAAACTCATGAAACAATGAAATTACATTTTTAAAGAGGTAATAAAGCAGAAAAAGATAAAGCATTTCACAGAGAAATCTCCAAATGTTTAGTAAGCCAAAACACTTCTGTTTTGAAGTTAGATCATTGATTTTATCTTTCACATGAATTATAAATCAATTACACTCAGCATTGTTAAATTTCACAGCACAA